GTGATTTTCCACAGGTACATGAAGTGCCCTTCCAATAGGGCAATTTAAGTCTTTTACTTATAGTTCTGTTTTGTTACATAGTTTTTGTGGTTTTCTTTTCCTGGGACTCTATATTCATTGTGTTTTCTTTCCCTGTCTTTTATAACTATTGTTTTCACTTCAATCCTTTTTATTTCTCTTTAATTCTTTTCATTTGTTTTCTCTGATTTCCCTTATCATACTCTGGGTGTCTAGTTATTCTTGGGTTCTTTCTAATTTGGTCTACATTCTGAAAATTTTACCCTTAGTTTTCTAATTCTTTCCTGAATCTGACTGCTATCTTTTTATACTCCCTGTTATTTATTCATCTCAATTTTCAGCTTATCTATTTCTGACTTGTTTCTATAATTTCCTTAATTTCTTCTAGCTCATTTAAAAATGTTAAGTTGTATTTCCATATGCTTCAAGGTCAATTTTTCTTTCTGTTGGTATGTTATGGCTACTTTCCTCTTACATTATCTTTGTACACAGTTTGCTGATGTTCTTATTTAAATGAAAGACTGTTTTCTGTACTTTTAGGAAAGGAGAATATAAGGGGTGGGACTGTTTCAGGGTAGTGATCTTCACTGTAAAGGCTTCCTTCTCTGGTGTTAAAAGTGGTATTCATTAATTTAGCTGTCATTCTGAGATTTTGTATCTTCTGGACTCTTCTGCTCCCAAGGATCTGCACATTCTCTTTCCTTTGTCTCTTGTGTTCCTTCTCAACTTAGACTGTAATTTTGACAACTTTTGTTGGATCCTTGTGTAGTCCTTAGCAATGTGAGTTGCTCCAGTACTCTTGGTCTTCTAAAGGCCCTGTAGTGGGTCTGCGTGATCTCCTTTGCACCCACTCATACTCTGGAACCTGGAGTCTTCTCTCAATTTCACTGACTGATCTAAGATCTACTTGCTGTGGGTTCTATTCAAAATAGGATTATTTCCTTGTTGCAGTATTTATTGCTGATTTCTGTGTTCCATGGCTTCTGGCCCTGTCTCTTCATTTTTATCTCTGCCTAGCTGCTAACTTTGCAATTTTTGCACAGTGACTGCTATTGTGTGTG